CCCTCGCACTGACAACCAACTTGCTGATTCCCATTCGGGTTCTACTCGATCGATGGCTGGCCGTGTGATGTCACTCACTTGATGGTTTGTTCTTTCAGAGTATGGCCAATCCACCTTAGTCCATTTATTCCTGCATATTTGATGCACGATTGGTTCCTGCTGGGTTGGTTCGCTCCCAGACATGCCTTCTTGTTGCTGATGTTCTCTGACCGGCCATTTGATCTTGAACAAAGTGCTGAGCGAAGTAAGCTGTTGATGAAGGTCTGTAGTTTATTTAAAGTGCCCTTCGTGACGCAGTGCCAAGTCTCTGACCCGTATTGTAAGTAGCACTGACTTCACATTGGAGTTGAAAATCCGGATCTTATTTTTGATGCTGAGTGCTGTTGACCTCCACACAGACTTGAGAGTATTGAAAGCTTGCCTTGCTTTCCCGATCCTTTCTTTGATGTCCTCATCAGTTCCATTCGCCTGTAGTTGAAATGATGCTTCCCAGGTAGGTGGCTGGGTAGGTAGGTAGGTAGGTATGTGAAGGAGGTTGCTTCTTTCAGACTCCTCCCATTAATGCTGGCTGATTGTTGTCTGTTGTTGTTGTTGTTGCTGTTGTGGTTGCTGTTGTTGTTGGCGAGGAATCTTCATCACGTCTGTTTTCTCTATGTTCACTTGAAGTCCTCTCTTCTCTGGATGCTTCTTTTACCAACTTGTTTCTTTTCACTTGCATATCTTCCAGTTGGTGAGAAATCGGCCATGTATATGTTATCGGGGAAACCCAGATCCTCCAAGTTTTTTGTATGGGTTCATTTTATGCCTGTCTCCTCGTTCCCCACTGTCTGTTGTATTATTCAGTCTACCGCAATCTGGAAAATCATTGGAGATAGTAGACAGCCAGCGGGCTTGTCTTACTCCCGTCTTTATTTCGAAGGATTCCGTGAGTCTCACGTTGTGGATTACTTGGCATGCAGCACTGTTGTATAACTGTTGGATGAGGTGTATAATTGTTGGCGGCACCCCGTAGCAGCGAAGTAGTTTCCAAATCACCTCACGATTGACGCTGTCGTAGGCTTTTTCAAAGTCAGTGAAGTTGAGATAGACAGTTGACATTAGTCCTGGAAATCTGAATCTTGTTCTTCATGCTTAGCAGGGTAGATTTCCACATTGATTTCAGAGTGTGGCAGGTCTGTCTTACCTCTTGCATTCCGGTTTTGACATCTTTATTCATGCCTCCCCGCCTGTATTTGAAATGATGCTTCCTAGTTGTACGAAAATTGGTATCTAGCTGCCTCCTAACTGCCTTCTAGGTGGCATTATCTGTACACAGAAGCACACACAGACATTATTTTCAATGCTTTATGTTTCGATATTTCCTAGTCTGTGTTTTAATTCATACATTTCAAAAATAAAAATATATTCATAAACTCACTTCCATCAAATGTTTGATAAAGTGGAACATTTTGATACTTTGATAAATAACCCATAAATGAATATAAAGTTATGCTATTCAGGACACTAATGAACGCATTCATTGCAGTAGTGAAAATACAATCCACATAAGCTGGATGATCAACTTGATTATAACTTCCATAGGCTAAATGTACACCGAAACCAACACCTAACGAGAAGAATGCTTGGCTAGATGCTGCAAACCATACCTGAATTTTAAAACAAAAAATAGGAAGTTTAGAGAGAAAGATAAAAAAATTGTTGCATTGTTGAAAATTTCTTAAATTAAAAATGGTTTCATTGGACACTAGTTAATAACCGTGGCACTAGGTGGCTCGCCATCACGGTGCATTATAAATTGTTGATATTAGGTGGTTGGAGGTAATTAGCCTTGAACCTAGCTTTCGGGTTTGCAGACAGACACTAACCAGTCACCAAGGTGTATCTAAAGCCTTGAAGAGACTTATATTGCTTTTGAGATTCGAACCTTCGTCGTCCAGTGAACGCTACAGTCAGAGACGTTACGAATGGGCTATTCGGGCTTGTGATTGACCTCCTGTAGGACTGTAGTGACTCGACTGAAAGAATTCAGTCTGCAGAAAACAAGGGACTAGACAGATTACACTAGCTAATAACTAGTGTTCAATCAAAAATATCAGATACAGTCTCACAGGAGCCCGAATGGCTCAGTGATAACGCCTCCGACTGCGGCACTAGGTGATGCAGGTTCATATCTCACAAGGGATATCATTTCCTTCAAGACTGCAGATATGGATTGCTGACTGGTGATTGTTAACTAGCACGAAACCTAGATCTGGCAGGCTTCCTGTCGATTGCCTCCGACCATATAATATCAACAGATTAATAAGTATTTGGATAGGATAATCGATTTTCTGATGCAAAACGCACACTGATAATGTGGAGATTAATCGTACAGCTGTGATCCATTGGCGAATTTTTCAGGTTCAATAGTGATGAAAACCTCCTATACTTATTTCCATAGATACGCTTATGACTACATGAAGAGCAATGACAGAATAATAACAGATCATAGGCAATAACAAATTTTATACTCAGGGATTTAGTTTGTAAACTGCTCCTGTGGAGTGAGCCAGTTACATAGGCCGTACAATTAGGCGTGTTTCTTGTCGGATTTCCGAACATCACCCTGTGTGGTTAAGCAAAGGACAAACTAAATCTGTTCGTAGCGCTATTCCATCCCATCCTGTGGATACAGAACACAAGATTGATGTTAAACAGGCTTTCAAAGTCATTTACCTCATACCAACGAATCTTAACTTCGCCTTAAGAGTTCGTCTACTACATATTGCTGAGGCTGGCTGTTGGGATCCCCATTTAGAAGCCTAGATTATGTATTGAAAAGAAGCTGGTTCAAAAATTATCCTTACCTTGCCCATCTAGGTTCAAATGATCCTCAATTTTTGTAGAAATTTCCTTAATTTTAGTTAATATTCTGTTTGCTATTATATTTTTAGTATTATAATTATAATTTATGCATCTTCAGTGAACTGTAATTCCATTGATCTTACTTAACAAATAGATATTATTTAAAAAAACACAAATATTGTTATTGACTACTATTCTATAATATTCTGTGTGTTAAAGCATATATATATAATTGTAGAGCCAGAAGAGTAAATTATCGAAAAGGATATTCTTTGCTCAATTATTCTGTGTTTTATAAATACTGTAAAATAAAACGAATAGAAGAAGGTAAACTGCACACTAGCGTTTGTAAAAAGCCAACGCACTCTAGTAGATATTCATTTCATCCATTGCCTGTAAAGGCGGTCGGCTTCATTAAATGTCTAACAACCGAGCAATAGCACTAAGTACCACAAAAAAGACCTAAATGATGACATGAAGCAGATAGCGGAAGCGTTGGTGTTAAATAACTATCCTTTAAAATTCATTAGGAAGATCGGAAAAGGTCAAAAGTAAAATAAAAATAATGGTGAAACTAATAGTGATAACACAATTAAGACAGAATATAAGGCATCTACAGTAGTTTCATCATATAAGGAGGGGACATCTAAATCCCTCGCTACGTAGGATTCCCAATAAAGCAGGAATTAGGGTGGCATTCAAACCTACAAATTCATTCAGGCACGATTAGCTCTGTAGGTCTAAGGACACTGTGGGTTGACTCAGTTAAACAAAATAATGTAATTTACAAAATACCTTGCAATGACTGAGTTGAGTCAACAACTGCATACATCAAACTAGTAGGTTTGGGGTAGTCAGACTATCGGAACATAACAATTTAACTGAGGTTAGAATGATTGGTACCACAAAGATAAGTAATTTAGAGAAAAACTCAGCACTACACTGCACTGCATGCATTAACACACAAGCACACAATGCTGTGGGTGGGACAGAGTCAAAATTCTAAAAAGTAACATAGGTAGGTGGAGAGAGAGATTGATTACTCAATCATGGTTCATCGAGTCTGCACCCAACACATGCAATAGAACTGACTCAATGCATATACCAAAGATATGCATGGAAGATATTATTACCACCAGTCAGTCAGTCAAATCAGAGGAGGATAATAAATAATCTTAAAATTCTAGTTCGATTCACATAAATTATAACATTCTAACAAGTTACTTATTTTGACTATAAAAACATCTTATTTTCCATCTGATTGTATTTTGTTGATAACACTAATATTCGTTCCGAATGTACTCTACCTTATACTGATTTTAATTCAAATGTCTAATCATCAGTTTTTACTCATGTATATAAATGAAGCAAGAAAGTTGTGTGAGTGGTGCCTTGATATGATTATGAGCAGCAATAATTTGTGCTCGAATGTGGTCTTCAGTAAATATTACTGTATAACACCGCTGTGTGATTTATCAAAGCAAAATCTTTTGTGTAATGGAATTATAGTCTACCACAGAGTTCAAGTTTTATACTTATATCAATATTTGCAACTCTATTTGCTTTGATAAGAAAAATTTTATAAATACCAAGATAAAATAGTAAATATCCAAAGATAGTTTGAGAAGAAATATGGAAGAGTTTATAAATAAATTAAGTATTAGGGCAGTTTTCGAAAAATACCTTTTATTCCTCAAGTATTTTTAAGAAGATATAGAAAGGATTAAATGTCCAATAATAAGAAGGCAACATGGGCGAAATTTTTTTTAAATTTAAAGCCATGTATGTATATGTATGCATTTAATCTACAACCTCGAGGTATTTTCAGCTTCAACCTCAGTATTTAGGGAAGAAGTCTTAGAAAAACAACTACTCTTAACCATCAAATGCATAATGAGACTAAATTCACCATAATAATTCTTGTATAATTAACCTTCCTCATAATTGCCCGCCTGTAAAATATTATCAGACTAAAATCTACCCAAAACCCTTCCTTCCCAGTCTCCTCTATAATACATCTATTTAAGTAAAACAAAAAGGTATAATATGCATTCAGTTAAACAAAAAGAACCAGAAGAACTTACATCCCAGTCCAATAGTTTACCAAATGAAGGATTGAGAAAAGTTCTAATACCGTAAAATGCATTTTCCAGTGTTAATCCCCTAATAAGTAGAATGGCGATAGCAAGATATGGTACGCCTGCTGTTATCCAAGAAACCTAATATGAAGGCAAAAAATAGAAGAAAACTCATCAGTATGGGATTATTTTAATGTGATATATTGTCTAAAGTGAAAAACTTTGTAAATAGAGTAACACACATCTGTCATTGTTTCATTATATGTAGGCAAACATTATTAACTAGGCTTAACATTACTGTTTTTAAAGGGCATTTATTACAATGACTTTGAGTGGGTAAAAAAGTGTAAATAGTGAGGGAATGGATATCCATGGAACTTCATCAAAAGACATATACCCCAGGCCAAACTACCAAATCAAAGTCCCCCAGGGAAAGCACAAAGAAAATCGCCCAACTATATATAAAGGACAACATTTCAGAAATCACTGCAATACTCTTCAAACCTTTAGGAATTGATGTAGCACACAAACCAACAAAATCACTTCACTCAGCTGGTTCTGTGTCAACTAAAAGACTCAACAACAAAAGAAGATAAAACTAACCTCATCTACAAAATAAATTGTAACAACTGCGAAAAACTCTACATTGGCCAAAGTGGACGTCACCTTCTTCTTCATATCGCCGAACATAAGCTAGCCTTGCAAACGACATGACATCCACTCCCTCATATCGCCTCACTACATACAGACAATCACGGACATCAATTCCACTGGGACAACCAACGTTCAAATATTAGACAGAGGAAACACCAAGAATTCTAGAGACTTTTTAGAAGCCTTGCCACGTATTCCACAGAATCGTCAATTAATAATAGACACATCGGCATCAACAAAATTTATCAGTCGATAAGAAGGAAATCTCAAACACAAAGGGTCAAAATTCAAGTCGAGGAAACAATCAGTTCCAATACAAGTAGCCAAGAGGGTGTGAAATCACACAAAAACAACCGATCACGTTGAAGGTCACCCGTCAGGAGAGATGACCAATAAACTCGTGGAGAAATCTAAAAGCTCACTTCAAATTGAAGTATGCTCTGAAGCGATGTTGCCTAGTAGGGCGGGCAATGAAAGCTTTGCAAATAAATCATCCAGCTCAGAGAAGAAAGCTACATCGAAATTCGGGGAGGAATATATAGGGAAATTGGTGATCTAAATAAAATCCTAAATATTTCTCACCGATGATAAATTTTATTCTAGAACCTGAGTCGGGGAAAAAGACTCCTATTCTTACGTCTTTTGATTTCATGAGGAACCCATGGATCTGTGAAGAAATTATCTGATCACAAACTGAAATGGAAGGAGCATCTGACTAGCTTTACACCTTTGTTAGATGATTTAGTATAAAGAGAAACCTCATGAAATCCCTTTTCACGACAATAAGTCGTATATGAATAGAGGACCTACTAGGTGGATAACTGGAGTATTTTTGGTTGGTTATCTACCAGAAGTCATCAACAAAAATTATGCAAAGTAAGATAGATAATCCTAAAAATGTAGAAAGTTAGTTTTTAACCTGGAAATTCAAAGGCAACACAACAACTGAAATTCTTCAAAGCAGATTATCAAGAGCAGTTCACAGAAAATTCCTCTCCCCACTGCTACGTCTCACCTTCTTTAAGTAACGCCTTATTTATCAAAACTGTCAAAGACAATCTCCCACTGTT